TGTTTTGAAGCAGGGTCTCCCTGTAGCCCCAGCTGTCCTGGAACTCACTATGTAGACCAGGCTGGCCTTGAACTCACCGAGATCCTGCCTCTGCCTCCCAAGTGCTGGGGCTACAGGCGTGCACCACCATGCCCGGCTTTGTTTTCTTTTTTAAAAATATTTTTTATTTAATTTTAAAATTTTATGTGTATGAACATATTGCCTTCATGTGTGTAAGTGAACCCATGTCATACAATGCTGGAGGAGGTGAAAAAAGGTGTATCCCCTGGAACTGGAGTTACAGATGGTTGTTAGCCGCCATGTGGGTGCTGGGATTCGAACCTGGGTCCTCTGCAAGAGCTTTTAACTGTTGAATCGTCTCTCCCTCCAGCCTCTTGTTTTCTGTTAAATGCCACATTAAGCTTATGTTACTGTGTTGAACATTATATAAATGTTCTAATCCTCATAAAGAAGGAGCTTGCCCAGTTAGTGAGTGCTAGAACTGCATCCTTCTAGGATCCCCTGCCTTGAAATGTTTACTCTCTCCATTGTTTTCCCTCTATTTAACATGGCAGAAGCTAGCTGCACATTAAGCAGTTAAACAAAGTGGTCTGTAAAATATTCCACTCAATCTATTAATAGTTTGTTTGAATTCCTTATGTTTAATTGTGCTCTGAGATGCTTACTATCTAGGGTCTGCCTTTCTTTATATTATAGGCAGAGAAAGCGGTCCACCAGAAAAAAGAACATTCAAAAAATAAATGCCATAAAGCTCGAAGATGTCACATAAACCGGACACTAGAATTTAACCGTAGACAAAAGAAAAACATCTGGTTAGAGACTCACATCTGGTACGCCAAACGGTTTCATATGGTGAAGAAGTGGGGCTACTGCCTCGGGGAGAGGCCAACGGTCAAGAGCCACAGAGCCTGCTATCGAGCCATGACGCACCTTTGCCTCCTCCAGGTATGCTTTGCTGTTGGGCTTGAGTCTCTTCCATGAGGTTGCCCATCTTAAAAGTGATGACTGAGGTGCTCTGTTGGGAGCTGGAGATGAGGCAGCACTCGTTGGAGAGATGGACGTTTTTCAGATTATTAAATAGATGGTTGTGATGGAGAGTGTGCCAGTCTTTTTTGTGAGACTGAGTCTCACACTGCAGTCTGTTGAACTGTAACTCCCTTTGTCCAGCCTTGTTTTCAGTGTTGTACATGTGTTTGTTCATTCAGTCCTTGCAACAACAGAGTGAGGTAGGCAGTTACTATTATTTCCATTTTATAGATGAGCAAACTAAGGTACATAGATAGAGTTTCAGTAACTCACCTATGACCATACATAATTAGATGGTAAACTTTGAGCCCAGGACACCTGACTTCAGACCATTGTTCTTTGTTGCAATCGCCGTTGTACTAATTTGGGTGAGATTCATCTGGCCACCGTTAGATGGATAGAGCCATTGTTGTATGATTTCTGTGTGGCAGTATGGCAGTGATTGATCAGAATTTGTTAGATTCATACCTGTAATTTGCCTTTTAGTTCTGATTGCATATACTAAAATTGTTTAAAGGGTGCTGTAGTAGAGGGTTGATTTGGGTGTCAGTGGTCCTGATTTGAATGCTGATTCCACTCAACTATATGGCTTTGAACGTGTAACCCACTCAGAGCCTCAGTAGCCTCACCTGGGAAATAAGGTCACAGTAGTACTGGTCTGTGAACTGTAGGGAAGACTGCTAACTTGAGTGACTGAATTCTTGCTGGTTCTTCAACATTGGTTTTACTGGCTTAGCCCAGTCTCTCTTCGTGTTTCCTGCACTGTAAGGTCTTAACTATCATTACTCTTGCCAGACTATTTGGTCAGACTTGCATAGTCAAGACTGAGTGCGAGGATAGGGACAGATTAATTACTAACATGGGGACTCTTGGCTCAGTGTTGTATGATTTGGAGGTAGCCAAAGTGAGAAGCCTCAGCATAGTTTTGCACAATTCATTTGTTTTGCTTCTTTCACTCTGGCTTCTTACTTTATGTAGATATGGGGACGAATAATCCTTCACTAAGAAGCAGCAGGTTTTATAGCCTGCTTTGAACTTGCCTGTGAATGTAGGATGAAACACAAATTTGCCTTCTAAAATCTAAGACACTGTATGTTATATTTTAAATGGAGATTCTTTTTAATTTTGATTTAAACTGGCTTAAGACTATCTGCTGATATAGTAGGAGTAAGAGGGCATTAGAGTTTGACTGCTTGAAAAGCTAGCTTTAGTTTGTTCTTAGATTTCAACGAATTTTTTTTATTTTTTAAAAAATATTTTTATGTGTATGAGGGTTTTTGCCTGCATATATGTAAGTGCACCATGTGCATACATTGCCTGCAGAGGCCAGAAGAGGCTGTCAGTTACTTGGAACTGGGGTTACAGGTGGTTGTTAGCTGCCATGTGGGTGCTGGGAACTGAACCCAGGTTCTCTACAAGAGCAGCCAATGCTCTGAGCCATCTCTCCAGCCCCTTCTTTTTTTTTTTTTTAAATTTATTTTGTTTTTAATGATGTTTGTGTGTGTGTATGTGTATGTGAGAGAGAGAGAGAGAGAGAGCGTGCGAGAGAGAGAATGTGAGAGAGAGAAAGAGAGAGAGAGAGAGAATATGCACATGAATATCGAGGCCCATAAGTGTCAGGTGTCAGATCCCCTCTGGAGCTGGAGTTATAGGAGATTGTGAGGTGCTTGCTAAAAGTGGGTGCTCGAAATTAAACTCAGGTCCTTTGCAAGAGCAATTTGTACTCTTTACCACTTTTCTAACTTTTTTAGCCTCCCCTACCAGGCTTTCTGATACAACTTTGTGTTAGCATTTTTACCCCATGCAGATCATAAGATATTTATGTTTCTCCTTTGTGCAGGACTTATCTTACTACTGCTGTTTGGAGTTGAAGGGCAGAGAGGAAGAAATACTAAAGGCGCTTTCTCAAATGTGTAGCATAGACACAGGTAATTTTTTTTTCAAAGCTGGGCACTGCCTATATTTATTCATTTGGTGAATGGATGTCTACTGTAAGCATGCCGCAGTTTTAGCTTATGAAAATGTGTGGGACAGCCTTGTTCCCAGCAACTATGTTAGTTTAAGAAAAGTTGGTGTGTATTTGGATCTTTAGTATTGTGTATAAAGTGAATCTTGTGGAGTGAACTTAGGCAGAAAGAACTTGAAACTCATTAAATCATTCATTTAATAGGTATTTATTGAGAACTTCATATGTGCCAGGTTTTCTTTTAGGCATGACCCAAACCACAACTTCATCTTTCATGGAGGCAGACAATAGTTAATGGTGTGACTATCACAAAATGATACTGCACTGTCCACTCTTGAAATCACAGGATTTTGTTTGTGTTTGTGTTTCTGTCAGGACTCACATTTGCTGCAGTTCACTGCTTGTCTGGGAAGCGCCAAGGGAGCCTCATGCTTTATAGGGCAAATAAGTATCCCAGAGAAATGCTTGGGCCTGTTACATTTATTTGGAAGTCTGAGAGGACCCCTGGTGATGCTTCTGGGAATAGGCAACTGTGGATCTGGCTTCATCCAACTCTTAAACTGGTATCATTATATTACATTCTATGTCTTTATTTTTTGTGTGTGTACATACACGTGGAAGGTAGAGGACAACTTGCAGGAGTCAGTTCTCTTCTTCCATCATGTTGGTCCTGAGGATTCAACTTCCATGTCATCAGGCATGGTGGCAAAGCATGTTTACATGGAATCCTATCTCCCCAGCCCACTGTTACATTCTTTTTTTCTTTTGTTTTCAGTCTTTTGGAGACAGGGTTTCCCTGTAGCCCCAGCTGACCTAGAACTCACTATGTAGACCAGGCTGGCCTTAGTCTCACAGATATCCACCTCCCTCTGCCTCTGGAGTGCTGAGATTAAAGGCGTGTGCCACCACACCTGGCTTCTGCTGTTATATTCTTAATTGCCATTGGTAGACAATAATTCCTATAGAGATTTCAGTGGTATATAAGTTTAGCTGACAGTTTGATATCAGAATTTAGTGGACAGGGGCTGGAGTGGTGGCTCAGCAGTTAAGCACTGTCTGATCTTCCAGAAGACCTGGATTCAATTCTCACCACCCACATGGTGGCTAATAATTGTCCTTGAAATTCCAGTTCCAGGGGACTGATGCCCTGTTCTGTCCTCTGCTGGTACTGAACAACATGGGTGCACTTACATACATGCAGACATAACATTCATATACATAAAAAAAAATATAGTGGAGAAAGTTGCATGTTGAATGAAACAATTATTTTTTATTTCTTTATCTTTAAATTTTTTAATCTAAAATATTTAACAAAATGCTGGGTATAGTAGCTCATGCCTTTAATCCCAGCACGAGGGAGGCAGAGGCAGGCAGATCTCTGTGGGTTCAAGGCCAGCCCCAGCCTTGTCTACATAATGAGTTCCAGGCCAGCTAGGACTACAGGGAGACCCTGTCTCAAAAGACCAAATTATAAAATAAAATAATATATTTAACAAAGAATGGATATTTAAGTTGAACATGATTTGATATGTGTACATACACATTATATTGTGATTACCATAATGAACATACCTGTCTCCACCCATTTCATACATTATTAGATGTTTAGAACTTGTGTATTGAATATTATGAGGCAATTCTTGACCTCTAAGTTTTCAGCTAATCATAAACAGAAGGAGTGATAAGAACTGACCTTATGCTAAAAATTTGAAATGTTAGGGCTGATGTGTCCACATAATGGAGCTGATTCAATGCGCTGATACCAGCTACTTGTAAGAGCCTGTTTAATAATGAGAAGCTATTTTGATCGGATGATCTTTAGCTTTGCATTTAGTTTAACTTCCCTCCCTTTAAAGTTATATCGAAGGGTGTAAAATTTCCCCAATTTCCTCTTTAACCCTTTAAAAAATTGGTTATAAGTTGTCATGTTATTTTCATAATATTTGACTTTTTTTTTATTCAGTGTCATGTGGTACTAAAAAGTTTTTTGTTGACACATTTAGCTTTATTTATGAAGGGATTAAAAATGTGAATTTTTAAAAAAGTAAACTGAAACCATTAAAGTTATAACACTACACTCAAATTTCAAAAACTTAAAAGTAAATGTTTAAATATCTCCTTAGGCCATCTTAGAGGAAATAAAAACAGTGTGCCTATGTTCAGAACCCATCAAATCAGATGTTTGTGTCCCTAACCCACTGCCAACACCAGTCCAAGAAAAGAGCCACCCTGAGCTGGCTGATGACATAGTTGGTAAGAAAAGAAAAAGGAAAAATGATGAAGAAAATGCTAAGCCAGTTAAGAAAATTATTGGTGATGGGACTCGAGATCCCTGTCAGCCACGTTCATGGGTCTCTCCAACCACAGGGATCATAATCAGGTAGGTTGCATTCACTCTGAGCCTGCTGACTCTTTTCAGTGAAGACTGTCCCATTATTTCCAGTGGTACAGATGTATGTGATAGAGATTTTCGTTTCATGTCTTTTCTCTCAGTGATTTGACAATGGAGATAAACAGATTCCGGCTGATCGGTCCCCTTTCCCAGTGCATCCTGACCTCGGCCCTGAAAGCTGCTCCTGTACACACTGTGAGTAAACAGGACCGTCCTGTTTCATTGTAGGCAAGCTTGTAATTGTCTAGTAGGTAATCTGCTAACACTTTGGGCTGTGCCTTTTAAGCCTGTGTTTCCCAACTTATTTTTATTAACAAAGATTTTTTTTTTAATGTTTCACTTCTAGAAGACCAAATCTAAGTGGGTGTAATAAACTATATATATATATATATTTGTCCTTTTGAGACAGGGTCTCCCTGTAGCCCCAGCTGTCCTGGAACTGACTATGTAGACCAGGCTGGCCTCGAACTCACAAAGATCCACCTGCCTTTGCCTCCCAAGTGCTGGGATTAAAGTTGTGCACCACCATGCCCGGCCTATAAACAGTTTTTTAATTTAAAGATTCTTGATTTTTGTGAGTCTTGTAGGAGTCCATATGCAAGTAATGGAGTATTTCTAAAATCCCTGAAATGGTATGCCAGTTTTTTTTTTTTTTTTTTTTTTTTTTTCTTTTTTTTTTTTTTTTTTTTTTTGTTTTCTTTTAGTTTGGCTTATATGACACAGATTTTCTGGAGGTAGTTTCTGTGTTCCCCCAAAAGGTTAAGAACAGTATCTAGAGCTTGGTGCTTGTGATAGAACTCTTTGTAAAGATGACAATCCTTGTAAAGATTGATGTTCCTTTTTCCTCACCAGCATGGTGGCTACTGGTCATGTGACACTTGAATATTTGAAACATGACTGGAGTGACTGAGGTACTGCATTGTCCCTTTATTTAATTGTAGCTAGCTACAGATTAAATTTGATTGGCTCTTAGTGGTTTGTAGCTACCGTGTTAGACTGTCTAGAGCATGTGGAGATTAGAAGTCGTCTGTCTGGATTCAGAGCCTGACCTTGTAGCAGTTAACTTCTTAGCCCTTGTGCCTCACCAGTTTGACATGGGCAAATATGGTGATAGAGGTGAAGAAAATTTGAGCTTTTAGGAGAAAGGTGTTTTAAACAACAAAAGCAGCTTTTTTTCCTGTCTTCTTTGCCTTTGTGTTGTTAGTCTTTACCGCCTGGCCTGGAACTCTATGTAGATCAGGCTGGCCTCAGTCTCACAGAGATCTGCCTGCCTCTGCCTCCTGAGTGCCTGAATTAAAGGTGTGAGCTACCATGCCCAGCTAATTTTACTCATTTTTGTTGTGTTTGTGTGTCAGCTTCTGTAGCTGGAACCCTGGGCCTTATGCATACTAGGCAAGCAGCTACTCTACCTCTGAGCTGCGTTCCCAAGCCCAATTTATTCACTATGAGTTGAGATTAAAAAATTCTCAGAGAGCTTCTTGAGATGGCTCAGTGGTTAAGAGCACTGACTGCTCTTGCAGAGGACCCGGGTTCGATTCACAGCACCCACACGGCGACTGCAAACCGTCCTTAGCTCTAGTTCCAAGGGAATCCAAAGCCCTCTTCTGACCTCCACGGCATTGCACGACATGGGTACATTCACATACATGTAGGCAATACATACACATAAAATAAAAAAAATTAAAAAAAAAAATCTCAGATAGCTTCTCACTGTATTTAAGGTAAATCTCAAGTCCTTGGATACGGCCTGTGTCATCTTGGACCTTGTTGTCGCCCTGGCTTCATCTCTGCCCACCCTCTGCACTTTGGCCATGCTGGCCTTTCAGTTTCTAGAATGAGTTACTTCTTGTCTCCGTTGAGACTTGTACCAGTTTTCCTCTACCTGTTGAGCATTCTGTTTGTGCCACTCTTTGCTGCACTAAACCTTCCTCATTCTTCAGGTTTCAGGCTGTCTCATCCATTTCCCTCTAGAATCCTTCCCTGTGCCCTCAAGTTGACTTATATCCCTCCTGTTGTTGCTGTAACACCTTGTACATGTCTTCAGTATTGTAGACTTGTTAATGTGTTTATGTAACAGCTGTCTTGAATTGGCCTGTGAGCTTCGGGATGTCAAGGGCAGGGCTGGTCCTGCTCTTTACTGTCTCCAGTGCTTAGCATGGTGCCTAGCATATAGAGAAGGTGTTCCATGGTAGTTAGTAAGTTGGTTCTAGAGCTTGTACTCCAGACCATTCAGCTTTGCTATTGCTTTCTGTGAGGTGAATGGTCTTAAAGTTGCTTCTTTCGGATCTGTGGGAACAATCTATTTCAGTCTGAATCCTGGCTCTTGGCTGGCTTGGCATGCATCTAGTACCTGAAGTGCTTTTGAAATCTTACTAAATTCCTAATTTTCTCCAAAAAAGATGTAAGTAAAGTGTTTGTGCATTTTATCTGATATTGCTAATAATGTAGTTATTCTTTTCAGAAGATGCTGGTTTGATGCAGATCACTTTGTGGCTTAAATTAGAGATGATAAAGGTGGTAATAGTGGGAGAGGGTCAAGATTTCTTTTTGTTGGAATTGTTCACAAGAAAGACTGGGAGTGTGATAATGCTTCATTAAGTAGTCTCTTTGAAAAGCATGGCTGTATTTTCCAAGTGTGTGAAGTCTTTAATTAGGAGAGTGCTTAGTCTGGTAGTAATTGCTATTTTGAATGCAGTGGCAACTTTGCTGCTATGCCTCATAAAATAGTTATTCCCACACACAGAAACAAAGGGAGTGGGGCAGTGTTACAAGCATAGCACAATTACTATGCCTGACTCATTATTTTTCTCCTAAGGAGGAATTCTTGTTTTTCAGGGGGAAGAGGACACAGAGGAGTCACCTCATCACTGGTGGACTGACACTTGCAAGAACTCTGATAGCATTTCCCTTCACCAGAGACAAGAAGCTGTGTTTCAGTTGTTGGGAGGTAGAAGGAGGGACTGGAACATCTGGTTGTACTGGGGAGGAAGGGAGAACTGGGAATTAGGTTAAGAGTATATTTTTACACTTGGGCCACTGATGAGTAACCTTGCTTTTTTTGTTTCACTTTTAAACAAAATATTTTGAGAATGCCATACATGTATATCAGGTGTTTGATCAAATCCACACTCACTCCCTCCCTTCTCCCATATCTCCCCATCAGTTTTTTCTGACAACTTCATGTACTCTCCCTTTCTTTTCCTTCCTTCCTTCCTTCCTTCCTTCCTTCCTTCCTTCCTTCCTTCCTTCCTTCCTTCCTTCCTTCTTCCTTTCTTCTCTCTTTCTTTTCTCTTTCTTTCCCTTCATTCCTTTCTTTTTATAACCCACTCTTATCTAGGCATA